CGCAATGCCTGTTTGCGAAACTTACCTGTAGAAATGTAACTCTATCATAAATAGACCAAACTTATAATTACTCTTCGCCGACAAGGGAAGTTAAGATAAAAAATGCCGTAGACCGTCAGTATATAGCAGTAGATTCCTGAGGAATCACAGTCAAAGACATGTAGGGCAAACTGAAAGGAAAAGTAACATTCGAATCTAGGCTTACATGAAAGCCCTATTATGACGGAATGAGAAGATCAAACTTTCTATGAAATATCATTGTTAAATTTCCTTTTTTATATTTTTTCTTTGTTGAAAATATGGCCAGGTAACATGTTCTTTTATTTGATTATTTTTTCATTTGTCCTCCGTGCGTCAAAGCGCGTCCGCTCGATTAAACAGCACGCTCACAATCAGTCCTTAGCAATCCAAGGGGGCAGATGCTTCTTTGCACTTATTAACTGAGTGGGAGGGGCTCACAAAAGACTATTTGGCTCCAAATCATGACCGAGCGCAGTGAGGTCCATGCTTTACGACCGTGCGCCAAACGATTTCCTGCCCTGCTCGCCAGGCTCAGTCAATAAATATTTAATCATATGACCACTAATACCTAATAAAATTAAAAATATGTCTGAACCTTAATAGAACACAGATATATCCATAAGGAGGGCGCGCACTGGACAACGACAGTAAGATTCAGCTTTTCATTTATAATTTTCAAGTTAGAACAAGAACCTCCCTTAAGGGTGGGGCGAGACTTTTACATCTTTGATGTAACAAACTCTTCGTAATGGGGGCGAACTTGTAATGGAGTAAAACTTCCACAAACCTTCAACAGTTGATATTTGTTAGGTGATTAATCTGTGTTTCATGGACAACTTTTATGAGGTGTAAAGAATCCCGATTGGCCGGTTTGGCATCACTCAGCATTGTGCAGCATTTTCGAATCAATAAAAAAAAAAAGGAAAAAAAATTTCGAATCAACCTTTTGATACTAGTGCAGCTCACCACGTGTTCTACTTCCACTTTCTGACCACAGAGAGGAAAAAAATCACTTCAAAATCTGCGCAGTCATCTGCGTCTTATCATATTTTTTTTACATTAATTGTGCATCTTAACACTACCCATATAAATGTTTGCGTTATTTCTTAGATGGCGTTTTTGGATTGTTTGCGGTAGCGAACCTTGATCATACTGCAGGTGTTCTGTTACCTTAGAAAAGTAAACGGTGGTTACATTCATTTTGCTTCATAGAGCGATTCTCAGATCCATCTACCTTTTATCTCTAGGAGTCCATCTCATAATAAACGTCCAAGTTTGCCGGGCATCATAAAAGAGTTGTTTGTTTTGCTATATCAGTCGATTTCCATCTCTTTGTCATCGTTAACTCCTTGCTTTTGTCTACGCAAGTAATTAAACGGAAGTTTTCACGACTACTTTTTGTGGTTTTCGCATTGGTCGTAAAACTGACCCTCTACTAAAGCTTTTTTGTATAGTCACGTTGTCTTAGCCGAGTAATTACTGTCAACTGACTTTTAAAACACATAGTGATCAAAACTGAGGTTGAGCCGAACATTAGTTCATTAGTGCTAAAAGCATTGGTGGAGTCAGGAGACTGACTTAGAGATGTTGCTTCATACCGAAGCGCCTCATCTCCCGATGTCAATAACAATCAATTTGTGTTTACACTTCTTTGACACGAGCTTCTGTTCTGTTATTGACAGTTGCGGGTAAGCCGTGATTTAATTGTTATTCTGAAAGTTTGCTGTTTGTTTTGATTGCCATGATTTGACGACTCGTCTTTGATTTGACAATTCTGGGATTGATTACTATTTCCCTTCACCTGCTTAACAACCCTCCGCCGGAATTCTTCATCGGCAGCTTAGTTCTCCATATAATATCTTTACATTGTCGAGTGCGAATCTTACTGGGATATGCCAATCATCAGTCAGGTGATACTGCCTTGAAATAAGAAAAAATTCTCAAAATGGTATCTAAAGAAATGAAAGATTTTAGGCAAAAAGAATTCCTAATTCTATTTCCGATTAGGAATGAACTGAGGTACAAGGCGATCAAACTCAATCATATACCAGCTTTTCCTTCCTTCCCCATTAACGGTTGAAGCTACAAGTTTTCAAACAGCGTTTTTGATTCTTATTCTACTGTCTAGGCGCTTAAGGCTGCCAAACGTTCTCGAAAAGAACTTCAAACCATGATCTTTTTGTTATAGTGGCCCACGCAACGCTGACCTCACTGACCGCAAAATCATCATCAAAAAAATCAATTTGCAATGTTGCTGGAGTGTTGCCATGATAGCGTGTAGGTGTTTACTTTTGCAGACCATTAAACTCAGAGTATATTGTCACTTAAAGAGTACCAAGTGCCATAGTGTCCTGTTCTAAAAATTATTTGGAATTTCAGTTTGAGACAATCGTTTGTTAGGTACAACTAGTTGAGGTTGGTGTATTCGTTGTTATTCTCTGTTAATAATCCCTCCTGTCCAAAATTTCGTCAATTCTAGCTTTGTTGTACAGTGAGGCCCCAATACTAGTTGTATATTGTAGAGCCTTGCCATATTGTTTATGAACCTTTTCCATTTATTTTACGAAGGTGTTTGTGTTTAAAGACATCGGTTATTTAAAAAGTTTTTTTCGAGATGAAAAGTTCGTTATTGGAATTTCACCACACTGGAGAGCGCGCGCAAACCTATTCGCGAAGTTGTTTTCAAACGTTAAAATTAGGATTTCAATCGCAAATCTACTTTTACATTTTTTGTGTATTTTTATTCGAAAGCGAAAACCATACGTACTTTATTTTTAAGATTTCATGAGCATCGGTTTCTTTTGATTTAACAGGCGAATCCCAAGGGTATGGGAAATTTTATTTAAAGTGTTTTTGCTAGTGATCTTCGGTTAAAACATTTGGATTTAAGCTTTTTAAAGCTAGAAGGTGTTTACTTAATGTCAAACGCATCATATGCATGTGTTTTAGGAAAACGTAAATCATTCCATATTTAGTTTAAGACAGCATTTTGGGAGGATTATATTACGTTTGGGCGCTTTTTCTCTCTTTCACTCTCAAAAGAAAAAACAAACACAGAAACAAATACAAAAAAAAGATGTCAATGTGATAGCGTTCTTCTTAATTTTCTAACTTACAACCCAGAAGATCCAGAGGTGTGATATATTCATCGGGGTTTACCATATCACTTTCAAGCATTGTTCGTGTAAGGGACATGAATATCATGTGGTATATGCATGATCATATCAGTTTTTCAGTCGTGTTAAAGTGTTTTGTGACGTGTAGTTCCCCTTCAAAAGGTGTATCTTCTAAACATTATTTAAGGAGAAGAATGCATATAAAACTAAATCTTGTCTTTTTTTTTCGATGTACATGGGTGACGTTTTAAGAACTCAGAGACTTAATAACCTTTTAGGTAATCGGTTTTGTATGATTGTTAGCTAATGAACTCCAAACGTGACAAGATATTGGTGATTGTTTGCCGAAAGGTTATGATTGGAAAATGAACGTCGCTTAGGCCTTATTTCTATGATACCGGTGAAGACCTGCTCTCAGTAATTAAGTACGTTGTTCTTGCTGATGATAACTGCTCACTGTTCAGATCATTCAAAACTCGCAAACGTAGTCTATCACAATGGCTCTTTAAGAACCTACCTGTGCATCGTGAAGCACTGAGCCTTACCGGTGTATCTCTGGCGACATGTTCCTGGTTTTCGTTCATCATTATTTTCTGGACTATGCAAGTTCCTTTCGACTTCAAAATAACCTTTCCAAGTATTTTGTGGGGTGAAGGGGAAAGGAGTTTCTTTAATGGGAATTTCTAAGTTGAAGAAGGTAAAGTAAATTTATTTGTTCTTCGATGGAGGACTTGATAAAAAATGCCTCCTTGATCATGTAAACTGGAAATTTTGCAGGCAATAGGGGTAGCGAATTCTCTTTTCAGATTTGACTTGTTAATTTGATGTTTTTGTGCCTCTTCCAACAAAATGTGTCCAAGGTTCAAGAGTAAGGTCAAACGATTATTTTCCTTTATTTCATTGTCAAGCTGAAAAGGATTTTTTTTCTGTTAGTTGAAGTATTGACATGCATGACTCGTTATGGTCCGTCTTTTTAACGCTGTTGACTTTTCAAGAGGTGGTTATGTATTCTTTGAAATCAAAAACGCAACAAGCGCCCTTGTCAATGCAAACGTCGTCATTTCCTAAAGAGCTGAATTTGCTCTAACAAATAACAGCATTTGTATTGAGATGCACCGAACTGCAATGACTTCGCAATAACAAACTGAAGGTAATTATTCGGAATTTTAACTAGTATATATAGGTCTTTCTGAGTCCTTTATAATTCTCAAAGCTTCGATACGAAAACAAATTTTTTCAATTTTCACACATGATTGTACACTACCTCCGCCTCTGTTAACCCGTTAACCCCGAAGATCTGATTATCAATTCTCACCTTCACATGCTATAAATTTCCTTTTAAATTAGTTATGAGAATTTGGTGTTAGATCAAGATAAAAACTTCTGCCGGATAGGTTAAAGTATTCTCATTGCCTGTTTGCTGGATAAGACCTGGTGATTATGGTAGGGAGAAGCTACAAGTTTTAAAATTTCTTCTGGGAGTGAAATTGTTAAAGAGAATAGCTATTCTTTCGTTTCAAACATGCGCACGCACCATGGCAATGGCAATAATGCCGCTGTTAAGTGTTTCTCTTCTTCTTCTTCAAAAACATCACGGCATGTATCAGCTTTAATTTTTTGTGCACTAAATCAAATCATTTCTAGAACTCGCAATTTGAATTTTAATCTCAATGAGCAAAATTCAAGCGTGCATAACGGTGTAGAAAAAAATGCATTTCCGTGTTTTTGAGTCTGAATTCTTGCATTCCACTGCCTATTGGGTGCTAATGACATTGTGGTGATGGTTATTTCATTTGAGTTGACTTTGTGTGGAAACTGTATTCAGTTCAAGGTAATTAAAAGCTTTTTTTCAAAATTTCACAGTCTGCAAAGTGTTTTAACGCTATTGCTGCAGATATTACGATAAACGTTTTACTTAGTTCTAGAATACAGAATATCCATGAATTTAGTTCACGTAGCAGTATATTGGTTTTACAGATGCCGCGGCACTTATCTACATTCTCAGCATGCCTTTTGGTTTCTTTTTTTCTGATGACTTGGCATTGGTGCTGTATGGCGGGTGAGACGAATAAGGCGGGTCCAATTTATCCTTTTTGTGGCGACGACTTTAAAACTGCTTGGGAGACTTGTTGTGGGGGTCAATGCAGAAATCGCAAGCGGACGACAGGTAAGGGATACAGAGCTTCAGAGTAGGGGAAATTGTGGATGGAGTAATGTGGCGATATTTCTCTTTGTCTTAAATTTGCGCCGAAGAAAGCTATCGTCAAACTAGAGAAAGAACCACAAATTATTTACGCAGGATGATCGTAAATATTGAAACTTTGCACATAAGCGAAGAAAGAGCGGAGGTGGGCAAGGATGAGGGAAGTTGACATAGATTCTAAAAAAAATGTGTTTAGTTCCCGCCGGGATTGCGTTGGTATTGGGATAGCGCTCAGGATCTTAAATCCTTTCATTTTAAAAACGATAATCGTTAAACCTGTAAAGCTTGTGGGGTTGTTTATCTAAGGATCTAATGTGATAATGGACTTATCTCACTTGGAACCGCGTCAGGATCTCCACCAAGACAAGTAGTGATTTGAAAAGCAAAACGCCAAGAAAGTAATAGCCAAATACGAACTCCTGGTGGCCAAAGGGGATTCTGGGAAAGATTTCTGTACCAGGAGGAACCCCATATCATTCTCAATCAAAGCTGTAGTCGTAAAGTCAATCTACTGCTTTTTGCTATTGTGTTCTTTATTCAAGAACTGTATGCATAGGGAAATTGGGGGCTCTGCGGAAATCTTGCTGGATTCTGTTCAATTCTTTACTTGTTACTCAGTGACTGATTTTGCGCACGTTCACTTAGAACTTACGAAAACAGATGAGGACAATTGGTCGTGAAAGTAGGGTGGAGACATAACAAATCACGTCACCTTCACAACTTTTACGAGTGGCAGTATTTTCATTTTTTTTTTCTTTTTTTCTGGAGACGCGGTGGTCTAACTTTTTACGAGCTTGATTCTGGATCTAAAGGTCTGGGTACGAGTCTGGCCGGGGTCAATACATTTTACTCTCGCAGTACCTATCTCATTCCCCTCCACCCACTCCTCCGTCAAGAATTATAAATGGTTGCAAAAAGAATTCAAAACTGATTACCCGCTCCTGCTTTTACAATTCCAACATTATAAATTTAGTCTAGGTTGTTTCATCAGTGATAAAACAAAAGCCTATTTCGTACCAAAGTTTACTGTTTGTGAAAAGACATTCTTTTTGTTCATGTTTAGGACTAACCATGTCATTTCAAAGGGCCAGAAGTTTTCTCATGTCACCTTCTGGTCTCGAGTCGAGGAAGCGATCAATTCTAAATGGTGTGGAGGAGTGTTGTTACGAAAAATGCTCTTTAGAAGAAATATCCGAATATAATTGTTAAATTAATTGTGAGATGTAAAATTCATCATTGAAATAAAACTATTTTCGTTATGCCAACACATGAATGAATCCAATTGCAGGACAAAAAAAGGCGCGCCTCTACCCGATGGAAACCTTCCTTGATTGAAATACTCACTTGAAGTCTTCATTCTCATTTGCAGTTACATGTTCGAATTTAATTTGAAGAATATATATTTACCTGTAAATCCTAACAATTGGGAGGATGCCAAAATGTGAACGGAACCGAATAGACGTTTTAAGTTAAGCATCTTATTATTTCAACGGAAGAGAACTATCATTCATTTCTTCATGCTCAAAAATTGTATTAGAAATCTTCCCCTGATGCAGTCTGTGTATCTCCTCTTGCAAATTGTTGAACAAATATCAATTACTTGATGCACGTATCAGAGGCCCTTCAACTTGTCGCGCGTTAATTTATTGTTCGTCGGTGAACGATGACTTTGCATGCTCGTTACAAGAAGAAAATAAGTTTTATTACCTAACCAATTGTAGGTTTTGATTGGAAATCCTTCTATCTGGAATAATTAACGCAACAAGCCATTGGTTTTATCAATTTATCATTGGCAAATCATCGCAGTCTGTTTCCTGATGTTAACACCATGTTAGCAGACCAATTACGACGGTTCACTTTTTGGTTCCCTGGACGATTTTCTTTATAACTTCTTTAAATCCATTCTCTCGCTTGGAAATAACTAGGATGACTGCGAACTGACCCATTTAAGGTATCACAGACGGACGAAATATTTCTTTTTCTTTCGATTTGCAAAAAATTTAAAATGTATTAAAAAAAAATAAAGATCTATCAACTTAAATCTATGTACAGTTTTGTAGAGTTCCGAATTCATAAAGTGTACTTACATCCGGAAGCTAGAGAGGTTGCTTTTGTAATTCGAGTGGTGTTTTCAAGCTTTTATTATGTCCAAAAGCGACAAGTCTCTTTTGACGTTCCAGAAAAAGAAAAATTTATTCGCAGTTTGCATCAGAGCGGAATTATTGTTGACCGATAGTGACAGGAGTTCCCACTAGACTTAAGTGTATTTCTATTGAAGCTGCCGGCGCTAGTTCGTGAAAAATATCACTGACTGAATCATCATTTGCGAAGCGCATTTATGTAAACACACACCGACGCCCCGAACAATTTCAATTTTCTGGTAAAGTGTTTTGGCTTGAGTTCTGATCTTAAAGAGTTTATTTTTGGCCAATAGTTGATAGATTTTCGTAAAATTTGGAGATGATGTCGGAAATGTAATGCACCCCAAAAGTGTGCGCCGGATTTTTCGATTTTTTCCTTCTCTCTTAAAATATAGCGTCTACGTTGAAAACTTTGCTAAAAAGCGCTATTTGGAGGTTAAAAAAATCCCAGACATCCTTTTTAGTTCAATATGCGCAGATCACGTTCCGTTAAAAAAAGAAAAGGGATTGATTGAAATGTGTCGTCAAATAAACTCATATTGTAAAACGTATTGCCGTGAAAGAATAAGCTCCCATTCTGTTCAATAGTGGGATTTATAAGATAAAACTAACTACGCGAAATCTGTGTTTCTTAAGCTTTAAGAAAATGTAGACTTTTACAAGGAGAGCGCGTATAATTTTTACGCTATCTCAGCTTGAATGAAAACGCTAATTTTCCTAAAAAGAAAAATACACAGCTCTTTAAAAAAAGCGTGAGGGATTTCTCTCAAATTTTTTTTTTCAATTGTCTGACATTATACCTTGATCAAAGCTACGTGACCATCGACAAAATATTTTAAGAGGAAGTTTTATAACTTCACTTATGAGTAAACAATCATCAAGTGTGCTTGTTTTGTCGCAGTTCAATTTTATTCAAATGCATATTTTAACATGGCATGTTCACATGAAAGAAGGAACCTTGGGTATCTTGGAGACGCTTCTCACAAAAGATTTACGAGATTGCAAAGTTTGATTTTCAAAACAAACGCTGAGTTTGGAATTAAGATGCGCTAATACGACAAATACTTTGAACTAAATCCGTGTTTTTCTTCCATGCAGGTCTTTTAAAGTTGCTTGGAGGGCTATTAATCGCTAATAATTTTACCGCAAATGAGCTTTTCCTAGATCATGCCATAAATCAGGAATATTCTGTTATGCTTCGTAAATGGAAGCTTACTAACAGTCAATTTCTGACGCTACAGCGCGTAAACAATCAACATAACTGATAACAAAGTAAAAGTGTAGTGGTTTTCATGATGAACAATGAGTTAAAATGAAAAAGCCTTCGGATCAGAACCATGCTGATGGCGTGGATGGTTACCCACAAAGACCTTAGATATTACTCGAAATGTAAAGAAAAAGAACCGTTTAGAAGCCCTAATGTGAATGATTTTCGTGGTGTGTTGGGTACACTCAACACTCGTCACCCAAAAATAATCTGGACCTTTATCAATTATCTTATATTTTTCAAGTAATTTGAATCGAAGTTAGTTAATCCTCGAATAAATCAAATTTATGAATTTTTTCCCTGCAGTTTTTAATGTGACACTTAACTTTCTCGAATTTAGCAATGTTGAATACTGAAAGAAAGGCAAGCTTTCAGTTTTCATCGTGTGTTTGATCAGCTGAAAGTGTCTGCGTTCAACTCTCTGACAGCATATACTGTCATACTAGTTTGATGTCGAGCTTAACTTAAGCCAAAAACAGCTGGATCTACAAGCGAGTGCATTTTGATTTGAAATCCTTTTTTATGGTGATAAGTCTTTGAATCGTCTCGTTCTAAAGCGCTAGCTTAAGGGATTGAGAATGGAATTTGCGGCTGGAAACAGTTTTGAAGTGTTTGAAATCTGCCCTGAAAATCAGCAACAAAGTATGGGCAATTACTTACGACCTTTTGCGACTCACGAGGATTAGAGAAATGTTCTAGCTGACGGAAAACAAGTTATTAACTATTCAAGACACTTAAACAAAGCCTTCGATTCTCTTTTCGTGAAAAGAATAAATTCTGACAAATTAACCGATAATTGGTAGAGTTTCAAAAAACGCGCAAGAACTTGTTAAGACGCTGCGTTGTGACGTTGGAAAATCGAGTGAAGCAATCCGTTTTCATAAAAGAAAATGATTTCATTTACTACTCACCTCGCGTTTTCCATTTGAACGTTGATATGTATAAGATGAACAATATCGAAATTTCGATTAATTTAGATTTGTAAACAAACTTTTGGATGATAATCAAAGTTTGCCGTTTTTGTTTGCTCGCTTGCTTAATTGCGCTCGCATCACGATCGTTTCCTTTCTCCTAAACGTCCGAAACGCGCGTGTCCACGATATTTTCCTGCGAGAAGACAATAAGTTAACACCAAGACTCGTAAAACAAACTAAAGCCCATAATCCAGAGACAAAACTCTCTTTGTAAAGCAAGATCCTTCCAAGTTCGTAGCGCACAATGTTGATTCGAGGTTGATGATTGTTTGCGGTTCTTTTTTTAACCGATAGTCGTTTGAAACACAGACCGAAGAACGTGGGGCTTTGTACCGATAGAATACTTTAGATTTGTAACACTTAGCAATCACTGTTTTCTTCAGTTTCACAACAGTTCTTACTTTTCTTCATCACGCGAGACTGGAACCACACGACCTTTGTATCACAAAGCTGTGACTGCTACACGGACTATATTCTGTCGCTTCACACCCCCTTGAAAAACGTGTTTACCTGTGGATTATTCTGTAGGTCTTTTTTTACTCTTTAGATTATCCTTTGAAACAATGTGTGTTGATCGCCAAACTTCTCACACTTCAGTGACGAAAGCGTGCTCTGTTCGCCGCCCACGAGTCGTTTCATATCAGTTCTGTGTGTTGCATGCTGAAAACCTCAGCAAATTCAATGAGTCTTCACCGACAATGTCAATTGTGAAAATATTCAAATGTGGGTCGAAGCCCGTGGTGTTAGCGTCACCGATGACCTAAGAGAGACTTTAAAAAGTGCTAAATGCCTTTTATCCTTTGTCGTACTAGTTTTTCAGCTGTGGGTGACTTATTTGTGAGCATAAGCTCCTCTCACGCATAGAGAAAAACGTCAGAAGTTATTAATTTAACGATGATTTTCTCCCAAAGCATTTATGTCTCGTGTGGGTTATTAAAAAAAAAGCTTTCTGGAGCAACGATAGCTTGTTTTGAAATTGTTCATCTGCAAAACACGAGAAGTTATTTCTGAAGAGTGCTTCACTCAGAACAATAGGCCGAATAAATCTGAAGAAAAGAGATTTCCGTTAGGTGCGAATCGAGTTCACGAAGCTGTTCTTTTTTTAAGTACTGCTGCTTTTCCCTCACAGCTAAAAAACTTATATAGGTTTAATCTGTCACCCTGGTAAACAGGCAGATGCACGAGGAAAAAAAATCATCGTTTGCTTTTTCCGTTTTGAATATTTAAAACTGTTTGCGAAGGTCGTTTCTGTTAAGAAGAGGATACAGCCGTGCCCGGTGGTTTTCAGTATTGTTTCTAGGGCCATATATGATTATATTTTGTCTAATTTTATTTGCATTTGACGCATTAATATGAATGTTTTTCATCGTTTATCATATGGCATAGCTCTCACGGACCACTAAACCGTACAGCAGAATTTCTAAAGGAAATATATCTTCTTTATAGCAGAATCTGACTGAGACTTTGAATTTGAACTTTGAAACTTTTTCAAAAGCACTGGAGTGTAACATCAGTTGTTCATCAGCCCAATAAATTAATTCAATGAAGGGAAGAATGATTTAGTTGAGTGCCCGTGTAACAATAATAGACTCCAACAGATTTCTTCGTTTCCTACCGCTAAAAAAAAAATTGCAACCGAAGAAAACCGTGATCATGTTAATTCGGGATGTAGGTGATAAACTGAGAAATGATCTTATAGATCTGTAAACCCGTCGATTGCAGTTCAGTTAAAAAAAAAGGAAGGTACAGTGAAATACACCCACACACCAGTGAGGAAGCGGAAGACGTGATAACAATGCAGCCTCGGAAAAAATGACACGATTCTAC